GGTCCCCCGCCTCCAGCGCTCCCGGAGAAGGCGCAGGCTACCCCGTACGGTGGCCTCCAAACTGCCCCGCTCCTCAGCTCCTCCGGCAGCCATGCTCCAACACCGCCTCTCGGATTCAGCGCGCCGGCGCAGGGCGGAAGGACAGGGCAGCTCCGGCAGCGTGGAAGACACGTAGTCATCTTTACGTGTGAGTTTATTATGCTGTCATGTTGTTTACTTAGAAATACTTGATGAGACTTTGGACCTGTTCACCAAGAGCTCTGTGAAATGCATGTTTTTTAATGCAACAAAAGCATACATTTTGATAAAAATAACGGTCGGACACCAAAGCAGAGATCACTTCTCTAAGCATGCTCTCCGGTCACAAGGTTTCTTCCAGCACAGCCACAGCAGCCTGTTTTAGTTCTGGGATTTCATAAAGTAACACAACATTTGTTTTGCAGTTGTTGTGTTCCACCCTTGGTCTTTTAAAGGTCCCTCGCATACAGCTACGTATTTCATTAACATGTTTTTGCCCGTTTCTCGGAAATCCAGCGACACGCTCTGTGATCTGCAGCCCAGGTCACTGTTAGATATGGGATCTACTGTCTCGAGGCTTCTCTGCTTCCCATCTCCACAGTGCTGCAGTCCCCAGTAGCACATTTCTCCAGTGTACATCATCGCCAGTAAGTGAGTGTCACTAAATATACCTGCAAAAACAATTCAGATCAAGTACTTCACTGTTTTGCTATAAGCAGGTACACAGCTTGTTAACTTCTTTTTTTTTTTTTCCCAGTAATACTGGAAAAAAATTCTAAAAATGCAATATAAGCCTATATTATTAAAATTTTTATAAGCCCATATTATTAAAATTTGGTTTTTTTGGTGTACTCTTTAGTACACCAAAAAAACAAATTTTAACCCTGAGATGACTAACACTACCCACAAGAGATCTTGGATTAAGACCTTGCTCATAACTCTATCCATTTTGCCCCTCCATAACGCTAAAATCTTTAAGACTGACATATAAATGCTATTCTGATAATTGTGCTTCTCCATGTATCTTAGAAAATTTCAGAATTTCTTTAAAATCATTAAGTGCAGGCAGATTTATTTTAGAATACTTCTGTGCCTCCCACAATTTAAGCCTGAAAGAAGATGCTATTTGAGCATCATCCTAACTCAGGTTAACCAGCAGTAGCTTTAGAATTTGAATAGAAAGCCACATACATGTCCATAGTCACTGAAAAAACACCCCAATGCTGCTAAATCAATCTACAGACCAGTTACTGAACTTGGCTTTGCATTGTGGAGCTGAACAGGATCAATCCCACTTTCAGGTGGAACGAAGCAAGAAGGTGCTCCATCCCCTCACTGCCAGAGCACAGCTAGTTTCGAGCGCACACAACACGGACAGCTGTTTTACCTTGCCAGTCTCTCCATCTCCCTACCCGCATCACGTTGATGCAGCCTCAGATCCTCACATAAATGCACTACAGAATGCAACTCACATAAAGTGGAAACAGAGAAAACAAGTTTGCCAACTCTAACCAATTCTTAGCTGCATTAAGACAGTAGTTCTCTGTTTGTATCTGTCTTCCCCTAAACAGGCAGCCCAATATGGGAACATCTAGCACCCTCTGCTGTCATTTTTGTGCCTTCAACATTCGTCAGCTGACAACTGGATGGTTATAAAATACACATGCTGTGCACAGAACAGAAATTGCCTCAGTTCATTTTCCTCCAGTGCATTCAAAAACATAGAGAAAATGAACATTACCACCTCCTAAAACCCATGAGTCAAAAGAAGGGGCGGGGGGGGCAACATTACTACCTGCTTATCTGTTTTGTTGGGTTTTTTTCATTCTAAAATGTGACAGGCTTTGATTACAAATTAAGTCAAACAACAAAAAGATGCAATAAAGCACTTCATAAAGTTAAGCAGTTATTAAGGGGAGAGGACTGTGGGGTTTTTCAGGTTGGAGGGGTTTTTTTTTACCTTCACTGAGTAATCTAGCTGTGTCTTTATCTTGAAGTGAGACATCTTCATTTTTCTGAAGAGGGCATCTAAAGCTAAGCATCTTTGTCAAGTAATGAACTCCATCATTAAGACACTAAGTACAGTTAAAAAAGAAGGAAAAAAACATTTTACATAAGTTCTGATTATTTTAATGATAGCCAGAAATACGTCTCACTATGAATTTCCCAAAATTCTATTTAAAAGAAAAAAAAAATTACATATTTTAAAAGAGAAGAGTCAAACTTTAAAATTGTATTCACACGCTCATAGAACTTTTTAAAAGCTCCTTTACCTTTTTAAATATGGCAATGTTTCCTTGTAGCCATTCACTCCTTTCTTTTGCTGTATGACAATACATGTAAAGCAGCGCTCCTTTTCTCCAGTAAAGGCATTCTAACAACTCTGTACCAAGGATGTTGATGGGCTGAAATAAAATCCAACAAACTGGGCTAACCCAAAAGTAAACCACCTGAACTACTCATATAGAGACATTCGCACGTTAAGTCTCTAACTTTAGAGGCTGTACTGAACAGCTAACAGTCACAGACACAAGTGTAATACTTTGGATTTAAACTGAGAAAAGCACATGGAATCGTGAAACTTTAGCAAAAAAGATTCCGAGCACGCAATTGTTTGAAAAAATATTTTCAGGAATCACCATTTAAATACATGTAAGACTTGAAAGTTTTTCAAAAGATCTTAAATTCTGACCATCAAAAATACAAATACTACTATCCTGTTTCAGATCTTTTATTTTTAAATAATGAAATAATGAATTCTCTGGCTGAGCAAAGTTAGTACTCACTTCTTCATTTATGTTGCATTCCCTCACTAGGTCTTCTGGTTCTGAAAGAACACAAATAAGTTCTTTAACTTTTTGCAAGGAAGATTCTTCTGGAAAATCTTCATCCACAAGCTGGTTTTCCTCAGAATATGTAATGTCTAAGATAGCCTATAAAAACATGAAGATGCACAACGTAAAAATGCTACCAACAAAATAATCAAATGGTTGTACGCAGTGACATACAAACTTGTTACAGTTTATAAAACATTACAGTTTTAAGGTAGTATTTAACATTTAGTTTATAAAAGCTGCAAGTTATAAGTACTGTAAGATTGTTGACAGTGAACAAACACTCAAAACCTTTTCTGTTCTTACATTATCAGGACAATTATTATCAATATTGATAAGATACTAGACATTACCTTCTAACCCAGAGAAAAGCAGCTCTGCACTTGGCATCACCACACACCAAATGACAGAGATCCCTTTCTGCTATACCCTCTTTCCTACAGCCAACCCTCCCTCATAGCCGAGACTGTAAATTTTCTTGAAAGGGAGCTCTTAATGCTTTAAATATACTACCTGTGTATAGAGCTGCAAAAGCACGGAAGGATGTTCTTTCCTTTCATTACAGAGGTCCTTCAACTTGTCCAGAGCAGCAGAGCCCTTTGCTAAGAAGGCATCTGAAGGAAGAACACAACGGTCCCTTAGCACTGGAAAGCACTCTGCAGGAGCCTTGCTTACTCTCCCTTTTGGCTCTATATGGCTTTATCCATCCGTGTGGTATCCACACGAGCAACTGAACGATCCCGCATCTCAACAGGCGGCTGTCCT